AATTGAACTGTTCCCATATTCAAGCATCCAAAATCTCAGAACCAGTCTGGGGACAACTACATGTCCCACTCACCGAGAGATGTTCCCGACCAGTTTTGTCAGCGACATCTGTAGAAGGGATTTCATTACTTCTGTTCGTGGTGTCCCCGATGTCATTGGCTGCAGTCCCATAGTCTTAAATTGCAGAAAGGACAGAGAAGGAAGCATGAAGTTGTCATCAGGCTGCTATACAAACACAAGGCCACAGTACAACCCAGAACGAAACAAGACAAATCACAAGATTCCAAACCACGGACAGCGTGGCTGGGGAGAAATGTGACTTGGCGGTTGGGTTAAATCCATTGCAGCAATGGGGCTGTGGGATGCCAAATCTGTATTCAGCCCAGATCTTTACATCATTGCTTTGTCAGTCAAATTCTAAACCAGGTCTACGCTTTCTCTTTGCACATAAGAACATACTCCTTCTTGGGGGATTAACAAACACATATTACTCTACATAAAATAGATGAGCAACAAGGACCTACTGTATAGCACAGGGAACTATATTCAATTTCTTGTAATAACATATAATGGAAAAGAATATGAAAAGAAAATAAATATGTATGTGTATATATAATTGAATCACTCTGCTGTATACCTGAAACTAACATTATAAATCAAATACACTTCAATAAAATTTTTTTAAAGAAAGAACATACTCCTTTTTTGATAAAGTACTTGATATAAATACAAAAGAGAATCAACCATGTAAGAGTCATAGAGTTATAGACTTGGAAGGGTCTTTAGAAGTCGAGTCTAACCACCAGGTTTACAGCTGAAGAATGAGAGCTGAGGAACGGTAAATGACTAGTCCAAGGTCAACCGGCAAGAAGGCGACAGAGCCCGGACATGAACCAGACTTGAAATCAGCAACACAGATTTCTGAGGCAGAAGCATCTGACTTGAGTAAGAGACAGCCACTCCAGACAGAATGTGGAATCAGCACCGAGAGGGAACTTGTGTCCACATCGGAACATTTTTGGAGAATTCTGAATTACCAATATTTCAGTCTCAGAATAAATACATAGGGAACTGCACCAGTACAACATTAAGAACCGTGAGCATATGTTCTCACAGTGCCATATCTCAAATGTGGTTGCTCTTCCCAATCAATTTTTGTCTACATGGATCAGGATGGAAATAAGTGATTTTTTGTAAGCAGCCAAAGTTTTTATTAGTAATATTACATATGATAGTCATAAAAGGTTTTCGGTACACTTATGGAAGACAATGTTGTTTATAAATGTTCTGTATTTTTATTCTAAATGGTGCCTTCAATTCCATCCTGAACAAGCAACCTTATTAAGTCAGCCCCAGTTAATCTTCCCTTGGCAGAATTATCATGCTGGCCTCGGGGCAATCAATTTAAATTATATTTGTATTAGCAGAGTGTTCCTTTGAATGTGGAAGAAAACTAACAGAAAAAAGTATATATTTTCAATCTGTTGCTGTTTTATTCTGCACTCCAAAACTATATTCTCCCCATTTTCATTTTCAATGCATTACAACTTATTAATCTCAATCAAACACTAGGAGATATCATTTATTTGCTTATTTTCCTTCTTCATATTATATCCAGTTACAAAATTAAATCATTAAAAGTATCTATAGTTTAATATCATGACATTTTGGCCCAATGATCCAAAGAGGGATCTGAGGCCAATGGGAAGATGACATTTTTAGAGTCTTAAAGTTACTGAAAATGAGGAGTCCAAAACATAATTTTTCAATGGAAAATCACAATTCAAACTTATTTCTCTGAGATACAATTTGAGATACTCTTTTTAAACCATATCAGAACAAATCAAAACAAAAATACACAAATCACATGCACAAAATCACCCAAACCACAGCTTGGAGGAAATACAGCTTAACATGCATTAAGAAGACAAAGACAATATAATTCCCTAGTTAAACTTAGCTCAAGTTAAATACACACACACATAATAAATAGACAAACAGAATTGTTTTATATTAAAAATAAAATGTCAAGGGGTATATATATAAAAATTAAAGAAAAGAAGAGTTTATAGACCTTATATATAAATGTAACATTTTAATCAAGCTTAAATTTCAAGCCAAGTCTTGAAATTCAGCCTGCTACTTCCCCACACAGGCCTCCTGGTCATGAAGGTAGTTTGAAAACCTGTTAAAGATGGATTTTCACACTTAGTAAAACATCACTGGAATTCAATTAAAATAGCGAAGAAAGATAAGATATTTAGTAAGCTAGTGTAGGGGACTTTTGGTGTCTCCTCTTCCACATTCCCAGGAGATCCCTATTTATTCCAGGGGATCAAGCACACCCCCACCGGAAACTGATCTAAATTCCAGGCTGGGTCTAGTTAGTCAAGAGTTAATCCAGCTCTCTTATCAGTAATGTAGGCAAGAATGGACCATGACCCAACTGGATCTTGAATAAAATACAAGGAGGGCTTGGTGGCGGTCTCTGGGAAAATTCTTTTTCTTCTGGAACACTTCCAGAAGCTCTTCCCTTTCTCCTATCAGTGTGACTTATCTTAAAACTGTAAGAGAAACCAGCCATCAGTGAAGCTAGCACAATGGGCAGGGGAATGCAGAGATGAAAAAACTTGGATTCCCTGAAGACATGATTGACTGGCTGGTTTCACCACCCTTGACACATGTTCTCCCTTTAAGGTTCCTGTTAGTGAGCCAGACTTCCTCATTATATAAGAAACATAATTTTGATTTGAGTTTACTGTCATAGCCAGAAACTGATACACTTCCCTTTTCTTGGTAGTCATGGCTTTTAAACAGGTAATTAGTTCCCAGTTATGGAAACAAAATGTCTGTTACAGCAGAATGGATTTACTACTTCCAAGAACAAGCGTGAGAGAGAAAATGCTATTTACAGGCACTGTAAATATCAAGGGAAAATAATCATCAATATTGAATGATTTTTGAAATGTTATTTTGGCCCTTGTCATGCTTGAAGTGTATTTAACTGAGCTTAAAATTCTTCTTTTAATTGATTTATTTCATTTTAGACAAACATTTTGAAAACATACAAAATAAAGACAATATGACAGCTACCTTCATAAATGACATCAGGATAATTTGGGTTTGCACCTAAAAAACAAAACAAAACAAAGATATCTTGTTAAGTACACATTAGAAGTTTAAAAACTACTCACTTAAACCCCCTAATACATATTCAAGGTTTTATAATTGAATAGATTGTTTTATAGGACAGGTAAATAAAATCTGAAATTTTAGGTTTGCTTCATGCTAACTCTATCTCCCTATTCCCCTCCAAAAAAGAAAAGGATAAACAGAAATCACAAATCTCTTTAGTGAGAAAAACTTCAGCAATCAATAAATTATTGCCCACCCTTTTATTACTGTTTCTATTAAACATTTGATCATTTTAATCACAACTTTGGTATTTTTATTCCAGAAACAGCTTATTTCTGTAGCATTTTTGTTATTCTCTGATTGTTTGGGGGTTACTTTCAAACTATGTTTTGGCAGGTCTATTTGTATTCAACTAGTTATTAACCAGCCTGAATAATAGTACCCAAAGCACAATTCTGCTCTCCACTTGGTCTTCAGGGCATTTCCAAGACAGAATAAAACTTTTTTTTTTTTGCCCTAATACAATACAGAAAAATAAATGTACTTTCTCAGCTGAAATTATAAATGAATGTTGTATCAGAGAGAAATGCAAAAGTATATCCATTTAATTTTGGGGGTGAGTCTTTAGCCACCAAGATGATAAAATATTCTGGTTTTAAAATGTTCCTAAAAGAATTAAAAAATTTTTTTTTAATTTAAATCACTGTCAGCAAGAACTAGTGACAAAAACATTTGCTACTTACTCTTCAGTCAGAACTAACTGGGTGTCTATGTGAAAGCCTGCTTGGAATTAAAATTAAATTTTGATACAATATTTAAGTAACTACAAAATGGATTTCCAAAGCCAATTCTTATGTTTTTAGCCTTTACTTACCATGAGACAAAGTAAAACTTATAAACCATCAAGTTTACTTGGTTCTCATTTCATTTCTGAACCTTTAGCAGAAAAATATTTAAAATAAGGGAAACTTGAGCCAATTTTCTGTTCACGTATTCCCTAGTGAGTAACCAAGGTTAGTCTAAACGAAGAACCGAGTAAAAGCAGTTCTGATGTTCAAATTAGAATTTTAACACAATTCAACTAGAAGAATAGCTATTTTAGCAGGAAAAAATAAGCAGACGGTTGTGCACTTTGACTCAGGGATGCTGCATACTGCTGTGTGGTCCATGCTTTGCACAATTCGAGGGGGCACCATCTAGACTATAGTCTTTGCTAGAGAAAGACTAATATATAGGGTGTCAATTATACATAGAACCTAAAAAATGATTCTAGTCAATTTCAATTGTATGTTGAGTTTTATCATCCCAAACACCATTTCAAAGTGGCTTTGAGTTAATGTCAGTATGCCTTGTCAGAATTATTTGTAGCTGATGTGACATTCCTGAGGAGGGTCTTGAAAGTCGCCCTGCAGTTTGAGGGGTAACTCAGTGAATAAAGCAGCAGGTATTCCAGTGGCAGCCCTGGTGACGCCATCTGTAGGACACCTACACATCCCCTGAAGTCCTTTCTCTCTGCAAAGTCCGTGGACATAATCATGTCCCCACACTGTGAGGAATTTCTACACCTGCTGAAGGAAAGTTTCTATAATCCCAAGAGAGCAAGTCATTCTTTGAACTGCTCAGTAATCCATTACTTTAGAAGATCCCACTTTAGTCCCCTTCTCACTGTGCCCTCAACGTACAGTCTGAATCTGCAAGGTCCCTGCTTGCTAGCGCTCTTCACTCATCACTTCTAGACCTCACTCCAGGCCCGTAGGACCCAGAATTCCCCCACAATAGGCTCCCAAACACATCTCCTAGGACTGGTCAGCCTCTTCCCCACATCTGTCAGCTCCACGTGGCCACACCACCAGCATGAGTGCCCTCTGGCTCAAGAGAACTGACTCAAGGGTGAGGACTGAGCAAGGACAGGTGGGCTGAGTGCCCACACGCACACTCATTCCCCATCATGTGCCTCTCACTGCACAGCCGCAGACACAGGGCAGGGGTCATGGCGGCCAACCAGCTCTACCAAAACCACTATTCTGGCTTGGAAGTCCCAGAGTCTGAGAATTTGATCTTCCAAACCAGCCTTCCAGGTCATTATAAACATATATTTGCCAACGCAGGAGGATAGAACCTATTTTATTTAACAATTCATTAACTTGATTTATATTTTTTAAGTATTTGGATATAAGTTCTGGATACTAACTTATACTAGGTTAACCAACCATCCAAGGTTGCCTGAGACCAAGGGGATTCCCGAGACATTGGACTTTAAGTTTTAAAATCAGGATAGTTTCAAACAGATCCTTGTAGTGTGTCCAGGATGGGGACCTCTTGTGGACATAAGACTTTAAGTGCTAAAACTGGGATGAGTTTATCACCCTGACTTATTCTCATGCCCCCAGCAATCCCACATGCAGTTACCACCACTTGGGTCTTATGGACCCAAGTCCATAAGAAAGTAAACAGACTCCGAGGACACAGAGCTAGATTTATCCAAACCCCACATGAAAGGGCTTCAGCGGATATGACTGACATACACGAGTAATCAGCCTCATCACAGAAAGGGGACACCCAAACACATTACCCACACAAAGCCCCCATAAGATCCAAAACACTGAAATCAATTCAATATAGCAAATGTCAGGTACAGAAAAGTGGGATTTGGGGTGGGATCAGAAAAAAATAGGTTAGCTCATAATCTGGAAAACAGGTCCTTTTCCAGACTTTGGATTCATATCAGTGTGTGCCTCTTCCACCGAGTTCACCATCAAAACCACTAGGTCATGCCTACACTTTCTGAAAAGCACTGTATTTTCCTAATTTCATTGTCCCAGATGTATGAGAAGCATTGTCACTTTACTTTCATTGTCAGGAATAGACAAATTTAGTGCAAGATTATGAAACTCAGAAAGACAACGTGGGAGGAACAATAATGTTTTTTTCTCCCTACCATACTGTACTATGTCTAATGAGGACCTACTCATCAAAAGAAAGAAATATCTCTTAATGTACAAAAGCTTAGGAAGTCTGGCATGTGGAATGAGGCACAGATCTAGACTTTATGAAAAATCGGGGTCACATTACTTCAGCTGCCCCTAGTCAGAGCATAGTATTTTGCATCTAGCAAGATCTCAGTCAAGCTAACCTCCAATAATGTTTATATGCCAATAGTGAGGTAGTTTTAACATCACTTTAAATGCAGGCACAGAAAAAAAAAAAGCACCACTTCCTTTTTAGATTTTTTGGCAACGGTCAAATTTTGAAAATATCCTGCCATTTTAAAGTCTAATTTCTAACCAGTTCCTTTTACTTAGTTTAAATTCATTCATTATGCATCGTTATAGGCAAAAGGTAGGAACCGTTATTGGAGATACTCAGGATTAAAAGGTGAACAAGAAAAGACAAACACTGGCCGTGAGGGGAAAAAAACCAATGAAAAGAGAATGAATGAGAGACAAACAAGAAGCATCCAACTTGAGTAATGCCCCTGTCGTGGATATCTGAGCAGGGGTCTGCTTCCTTGAATACCATGCGAGTACCGCTCAAGTGAGAAATCTCAGGAAGAAGGCAGCAGAGGTGGCCTTGAGCCCTAACGCTTCAAGTTGGAAATCCCCAGATTAAAATATGGACATCCTGGAACTCCTCTAACCCCACTGGCATTCCAACAAGCAGCAGACTGCTCTCAACTTCCACAGCTCAACTCAAGTGCAGAAGCTGCAACGCCCCTCAACCGAAAGAAGATGAGTGCCAGTGTCTGCTGTCTGACAGTCAAGTGTCATCTTCTGAAGAGCCTGACGAGCATCTGCACTCACTGGTAGTTTGTTCTTGACCTACGCCATGTGCTCAGGAATCACGGGAAGAGGACTAAGAGCACAGATGGCAACGCCCCAAGTCAAACGAAAACCGGAGACTGCATTCCAGGCACACACACACACACACACACACACTCCTGAAAAAACTGTATTAAATGTGCATGTCTGCACCTCCAAGAGATGCACCCTTGGGGCATCTAGGCTTCTAAACGTGGATGATAAAATCACTTTCTCCCTTCAACAATATCCAACCAAACCACTCCACCATCCTCTTAATTCCATGCTAATGACTTAATGTGAGGACCTATTTACTTCCACCTTCTAATCTCATTTATAGCCCCTGAGTAAATCTTATGACTTTATATAAATCTTCAAGTGAGTAAATCTTTACTACTTTTTAACTGTAAAACTCTACAACAAAAGGGAAAACACATTGAAAAAAAAAATTGTGGGAAGATAAGTAGCCAGACCAGAGAGTTCACTTTCCATTTTGCCGTTAAGATAAAAATAACAGTGGAGGCCAGAAAACACATCTGTTTCTTTCCTTTAAGCTTTTAGTCTCTAATACTTTAAAAAAAATTGTTTTAAAAAGGCTTTTCTTTCCCTTCGTTTTGCAGACTCTTTTTAGTGTGATCTTGAAAAAAAAATTTTCAAAGAATTCCGTATGATAAAGGCAAAGCAAAAGATCTGCTCTTTTCAAATAAACTGCCCTTGCTTTGTCAACAGGGTTTTCTAACTCCTGGCAGTCCACCTTTTGATTTCCAGATCCTTCTCCTCTTCCCCGTCTGAATGGCAGACTGAACTCAGGGCCCGAAAACACTGGGGGTTCAGACGTCTGGGCTTCACTTTGGTGGGACCACTATGTGCTCTGCAGCATGGGGAGTCTCTTCCCTTTTTCTGTAACAGAGGAGCCTTCCATCCGACAGGAGAGGATAATAGCACTGGCTTGGCAATGCCTCGAGAGCTTCAGGAGGCATAATTAACTTTAGTGCTTCTGAGACATAGAGAGCTATTTAAGTATAAATCTTAATTACCATGATTATTATGAGTCTAGAGCTGAACCATACCCTTCTCCATTTTTAAGGCAGAAAAGCAGGTAAAACTTTGTCCTTCCACTTCTGAGACAAGACACGGGTCCTGCCAAATGGCCTTAGGAATAAGTGGTGGAGGGGCTTTATATTTTCTTAATGTGTA